TGCTGCCATGTTGCCATGTGATTAGCAATTTGTGTTACCAAGCAATTGAACGGGTGTACCTATTAAAGTTGCCGGTGAGTGTATATATATATATATATATACAGTATATATATATATATATATATATAAGTGTGTGGTTTTTGTTACATGATGTTAACTGTAAATCTAAATATTTAGCTATATTTATCTCTTCCAGAACAAAAGCAGTACATGATTACAGTGTTAGCTGATTATATGACACTTTTTTTCTATTCAGCTTCATTTATTTGCATTTTAATAAAAATCAATAAAAAAAAAGATATGTCTAGTATCTCTCCCATATGTATACAAACTTTTTTTTGCATGAGGTTCTAACAGATAAATAACATAAATGTGGTAAATAAATGGCACTATAGAGATCTATGCAGTGGGTTCTGAGGGTTTGAACTCGTTCACTGCTCAACACATGCAGGGAGTTGCTGCACAGTGAGTTTGGTGACCTCTTGACCTCTGTGCGAACAAGGTCAATTCGTGTGGCGCCTGGTCCTCTCTGAGACTGCTGTTGTCCTGTTTGTGGTCTGGGTTTCGGGTAAGGGTGGGTTGTGTGCTGTCTGGGTCAGGGACTGTCATCGTTTTGGAGCTGTCGTGGGAAGGTGAACTGTTCGCTTTAGAGGATGACTCAATCCATGGAGCTGCACGCTCCTGTTTGCGAAATTTAGCGCGTCTGTTTTGGAACCAGACCTGAATAGAACAGAATAAAATAATGAATACATACACTTGTCTACATGGTAAGGTGCGTTGCTCTAGTTTATGAAGGGGGTCTTGAGGTCTCTTAAAACCAGTGTTTTAAAAGTAATGCATTACAATATTGCGTTACTCCATAAAAAAGTAACTAATTACGGTACTTAGTTACTTTTTGTGGAAAGTAAAGCGTTACGTTACTTTTGCATTACTTTTTAAATCTGGACAGGGCTTGCTTGTTTGTTTTTAAAATAAAAAAGTTATATTTTTGGCAAATATAAAAGCCTTTTCACACCAAAAGTGAAATGAAAAAGCCTCAGGCTGAAGGGAAAGTACATTACGTCTGTACAGTAGAATGCAGAAGAAGACATTTCAACACACTTCAGCAATAAAAAAGGCACAAATGTTGTCTAGAGTAATTTGTGTTTATTAGTACGGTTGAACTGGATCATCGAAGGTCAGAAGCAAAGACATTGGTTAATAGAAAGGGATTAAATACATAAAGTATATTTGTGTTGGTTAACATTTAATTATTGCAGGTTTGATTCATATTCTGAGTTGCATTATTTTTATTCATTTTGAGGAATACTGAATCTGTGTTTTTTTTCTGTGAGTCAGATGAATGAATGCATATTCATATTTATTTTAGAACTACAGTAACATCTTCTGATTTCTCTCAACATGGGGACAGGAGAGCTGTCAGTCAATAAATTGGAAAAAAAAAGTAACTTGAGTTACTTATTTGTAAATTAAAAAGTAATTCGTTACTTTACTAGTTACTTGGAAAAAGTAATCTGATACCGTAACTCGAGTTACTTGTAATGCGTTACCCCCAACACTGCTTAAAACACAGTTGAAGAATGCTCAGTGCAGAAGCTCAGGTACCTGAACTCGAGCTTCAGTAAGGTGGATCTCCTGTGCGAGCTCCTCTCGCGTGTAGATGTCTGGATAATGCATCTGTGAGAACACGCGCTCGAGCGCTTTCAGCTGCGGGCTCGTGAAGATGGTGCGCACGCGTCTTTGTTTGCGTCTCTCCTGGACGTCTCGTTCATAAGCCAGAAGATTATGATGAACTGGAAATTGAATGGCATTTTAATTGAACACAAACATATATGTTTTATAATAAGTAATTGGAGCACCTGTGTACGCTATAACGTCCAAAAGTTTGGGGTCGGTAAGATTTTTAAATGTTTTTGGAAAAAACCATGAAATATTTTAAAATGTAATTTTCTTTTTCAGCATCATTACTCCAGCCTTCAGTGTCACATGATCCTTCAGAAATCATCTAATACGCTGATCTGGAATATTCTGTATTTATTATAACCTTATAAGCGATATAAAGACAACCTACAAGACGCTGAAATGCAGTGGCTGCTAGTGTTACCGCAAGTGTATGTTTTTAAATAACTATTTTAATATATCTAATATAGACTAGCATTAATCTTTTATAGGAATGCAATTTCAAGAAAGAATGTTGCTCTGTGTGCAGTTTTCGTTAACGTTAGTTGTAAATCTAAACAGAGTAAACATTTCTTACAGAACAAAAAGCAGTAAAATATTACACTATATGTTGACTGATTAAATGACACTTTTTCTATCCAGCTTAATTTGTTTGCATTTTAATAAAATAACAAAATCAGTAACTGTAAACCCATGATACTTCAGAAATTATTTTCATATGAAAAGAAAAGAAATAAATGTTAAAAACACAAAAAAAAAATAAATGTTGAAAACCGTTGTACTGCTTATTTTTTTGTGGAATTCGTGATACTTTCTTTATATATATATATATATATATATATATATATATATATATATATATATATATATATATATTCTAAGACGTTCAAAAGAACAGCATTTATTTTAAATAGATGTACAGTAAAAATTTTAAATCTTAACTTTTCACTTTTCGCTTCTCGTCACTTTTGGTCAATTTAATGCATCCTTGCTGAATAAAAATATTAATATCTTAAAAAAACAACCTACCCAAAGCTTTTGAACGTATAAGGGAACCTATGAAAAAAAATATTAGCTTTTTTCTGTAGTGAAATGGTTATAGCTGTCAAGTTTCAAGTTTGAAATCTTAGCCAAATGCAAACAATTACATCTTTAATTAATTTGATATACTAATAATTATGATGAACGCAAGGACTAACCTGTTATGTAGTGTGAGGGTTGATGAGAACCAGGCGCAATGAAATGGCAACTGGTTGTGTTTCCTAAATTGCACCTGTTATATTGAAAGCTGAAGGGCTGACTGCAGGAGCTGAACTCCGTGGAGCGGCTAGAGGTTCGGCCAGTGTCCATCCCAGACTCGTCTGCAGTGGAAGTCAGGTAACTGAACTCCATCACTACCGCAACACTCGCAGAGTCTCTCTGGTGCAGTCCTCGGAACTGTTCTTATGTGAGGGCTCCGTGGCTTTTATTAGCCCTGATGTTCAGCTGATACAGTCGCTCACTGACAAGTGGCGGTGGGTCTCATTGTATTATGCTTTTGACATGTCTCTCCATCATCTCTGCCTCCACCTGCATCAGATATCAGCCAGCAGCATTATGATTGCAGCCTGTTACAACTACATCTATATTTTTGCATTTCAAATCTCTACAAACTGTTTCACAAATCACATATTCATTCATTCATTCTCACTCAATAAAATGATGAGAACGGTCCTCACCTCTGAAGTCAAGTGGGATTTTTTTTTACACTTACTGTTTGAAATATTTTTTTTTTCATAAAACATCTAACATTTTATATTCAGTAGATAGGCTATAGGCTATGCGTTTGATTTAGCATACAGTTTATATTACACACATTGCAGGCAATGGAATTACAAGCTGAAAAGAATTTCAGAAGATAATTAGATACATTATGTATTAATAATGACATATAATGTAAAAATTGGCTACTTAGGGCTTAAAACCCTTTAAGTTTCTTGAAACGTTTTTTGTGTGGTTTCATGCCGCTTCAGATCTGGTTTCTGTGCCACCATCATTGCTGCATAAAGATGCCTGAAGTTCTTTACCGAGGTTTTAAGCCGTTTTGTTTATATAGGCTCATATTTATTTGTTCTTACTTAGTTTGAACCTTGCATGACATTTGACATGAACTATAGTCAAAGAGTTATTGTGTGTTGGGGAAAGTTACTTTTAAAAGTAATGCATTACAATATTGCGTTACTCTATAAAAAAAGTTACTAATTACGGTAATAAGTGTATATGTAAGTGGAAAAGAGAGACAGGAGATGATAGAGTTGTTTTTATGATGCAAATATCCAC